AGGAAGAAATTCCGGTATGCCGGTCGATGTTACAGGTTCGGGAATGTCAGTTGCGGCAGCTTCGGATGCTTCAGAAACTGCTTCGTCTTGTACATTAGTTTCGGCTTCGTCAGTTGCAAATGCACGCGAGCCTTCGAACAGCCTGGCAGGGTTGGCAGCCGCTGCCTGTGGGCACAAAAAATGGGCAAGGTGAGTCTTTCATAGAAGAGACAATCACGTGAAGGGACGATTTGGTTGGAGCGAAGATCCAAAATCTTCCATGCGTGATATTGTTTTCGATGCAGAGGTGTACCCCCTATTTTGCTCGTTTTGAAAATTTGCCGAGTGCTGCAGATGGAGGACGAAAATGGACGACACACCCAAAAACTTGTAAAAGTTTGGTACTTCCCACTGTTCTTGTCCACTGTAGGTGCGGGGAAGAAAATTCGGGCAGTGACGTGGAAGACAGCAGGTTGTGTAACAGCACGGCATGGTCCATCGCATACGGCCAAAACCGAGGTGGAAGGGCTGCCTGCATCAGCAGAGCACGCATCTTCTCCTGCAGAGTTCTGTTCATCCTTTCCGCTACCCCCATCTATTGGTGTGCATGCGGCAATGACTGCTTCTGTTTGATGCCGAGTGTCTGAAGGTATTCTGTGAAGGTGTTGCTCGTGTATTCCCCTGCGCCATCACTCTGGAATTCTTGTAGTTTCACGCCAGACTCTCTTTCAGCGACAGCGAGCCATGCGACGAAGACGGAGTGAGCAAGATAATGAGTAGGAAGGTTTGCTGTCGAAACGTAGCAAGTAGATGCTTCGATAAAGGTAATCACATACTGCTCCTCTTTAGGTCATGTTTCAGGTAAGTTTAGTATGTCGCTGTAGACTTTCTGCATCAGTTTATAACGTGTTGAGCCAGGAAAATGACTTGGAAACGGATCGTGAGTAAGGTTGGCGACCGGACACGTGGTGCAAACCGTCGGATGAGACTGCGGCTTCATCTCCGTGCCGTCAGGTAAAAGTAGACCGTTTTTATCAAGAACTGCTGCGCGGATTGAATGATTTTAAATCCCTTGCGACGGATGCCCTAAACGTTGATGCCAAATTTCTTCTGTGACTTTGTGTCCTAATGATCGCAGGTAAAAGTCAGCGTTAGTATAAAACGAAGAAATGATAAAGGGAGAAAGCGCGGGAGACATGTCGAGCTCCCCTTCAACGAAACGAGTAAGTGATAACGGGACGTTCGATGGTTCTGCTGCAGTTGCGATTGCAACTTCTTATGCTAATTCTGTTGATGTGGTGGCAAGTGTTTCAGCAACAGCTACAGTGAGACTCGGCTGCTCGGCGACTTCTTCCTTTTCAGCTTCTTTAACGATGTCAGGTTCATCAGCTGCAAGTCCACTAATTTCTCCCCAAAGTGGTGCTGGAGTTCCTTGGAAGGCTGCACGGGTATTATAAAACGTCCGCCATGCGGTGGCGCTTTCATCGGCGGTATTGAACTCCCAGGTATCCAGTGCGGTAAGAACGGTAAGAACGGTCATCCAGTGTGGTATTGAGCGCAGAAGATATAGACTGAGTTGAAAACGGTGGTTGTGCTGATGCCTGTTGCTGTACTGATGCTTGTTGTTGTGCTGTTGTCTGTATTTGTTGGTGTTGTGCTGCAGGGGCAGTTGATGACATCCCTGGAGTACTGACAGAAGACGGATTCTGCTGCTGCTGCTGCTGCATACCGATATGCGCATAAGCCAGTGGAAACGGTCCAGAGGCTGAGAGACCAGTGGCGGTCGTGGAGACATGTACTCCAGTAGTTCTGGAAGTTGATCCGGCAGACGGTGCTGGTGATGAGCCAGTCATTGTTGACAGTAGTCTTAATCCCAAATAGCTCTCATACCATGTAATAATTCAACAGGTGTTGCAGGAGACTAAGTATAAAATCTGCAAACACGAACACTTGGAAAACCTCAAGTGTTAACCTAGGATCTATACTGGAATGGTAGACTAGTAAGACAGCGGAAGTCTTGTAAGAGTGAACCTGAGAATATATTTCAGTGGAAGTTAAGTCCCAAAGTTCTCAAAGTTGAAATCTCAAGGTTAATAATAAAAAGGACACAACAAAGATTTATAGCTCTATGAAAGTACCTATTCGCTAATGTACCTTTTCGTCACTATCGCGCTATGCGCCCTAGATGATAATGAAGAGGTGCGACTATTCGCGTGACTGAAACGACTGTCCTATGACGAGCGCTATTTGCTGACATCATCCTACGGACTTATCGTCTACAGTAGGATTCGACACTATCTATCGATAAACGACTTACAAAAATGCTGAGTATGAATTATACCGCAACAATAACAATGAGAATGACAAGCGGTTATCGTAGGAATGCCTTGATACGAATTTATTGCCAGTGTTATTATCATATTCTATGCTGCGAGCCCCAAATATTACACTGATATGAAAAGATATGAATGGTTTCCATAAATTTATTATTTTTTCTACTTCAAATTCTATTAAAGTTAAAATATATAACAAAACTACTGAACAAAAAAATCCATGTTATACATAATGATAGTGTTGTATGATATGCGTTGCGTAACATTTCAGCCTAAGCGCACCTGCGAAATACTCTGTACCAGATGTTCTTCTTCGCGCTTTTCGCCAGGGCGTGTACGAAACACGTGGGGGCAATTCAGAAACGTTGAAACTGACGGTTACCAGTTAGGAAATCTGTTATGAATGAACAAGCAGAGAAGCGCGGAAATGAATAACGAGATGTTCACTCACGGAATGGCAAGCCAAGATATAGGAACACCAGAGCTAGTCTAACTATGCGATAGGAAGGTTCGGGAAAGAGATCGAAGGGTCTCGAAGTGACGAAGCGAGGCCCGGACAACTCCCGAAGGTCGAACTAGAAGGTATGGAGAAGCCGAGGCAATTCTGTCGGTAGGTCTGGAACAGTCCCGAGGCTTCGGGTGTGTTCGAGCGTACGCGCTAGCAGTACCGCTCGGTAAGGAATGGAAAGTTCCCTACACCACCCCCCCCCTTAGCGAAGGTGATCTATATCAGCTACGTGCTTGCGGTCCAAATAATTCTCAAGTATCGAAGGTGACTGTATCTGGTCCGAGGGCACCCACGTGTCGTCCTCACTGGTACGATTGGTCCATCGTATCAGAAAGTCAACGTGTCGTCCTTGACCGTTGATACGAATCCGATGGCTCAAGATCTTCGAAGGCTCGATGGTCATCTCGGCTGGTGGCCGTACATCTGGGACCAATCACTGTCGAGCGATGTCCGACGTGTCAGAAACGAAAGGTTGCAACAGACTTACGTGGAACTTGTTGTGAATACGCCAGTCATCGGGTAGGCGCAACTGGGCGGTCACCGCCGTCACCATCTTCACGATCTTGAATGGGCCACAGAAACGTAGTTGTAACTTCGTCGGTAGTGGCAGTCGTAAATTCTTGGTGTCCAAAAGGACTAGTTGCCCTGCTGTCATCGTAATATCCCGGCGATGTAAATCTGCATACCGTCGGGCAGTAGTGTTCGCCCTGCGAATCAGTTCGACAGCTTTGTCTCGGGCAGTCTGTATTTCTTCGACGAACTGCTGCGATCATGGTACTTGACTTTCAACGTTGGTGGAGACTGGTACTGTAGGATCCATCTTGTAATTGAGATAAAACGGGGAGTGATTAGTCGTAGCCGAGGGCGCGTTGTTGTAGGAAAATTCCAACATGGGCAACACGTCCTCCCATTTTTTCCGGTCGGGGCAGTTTGTCTGAATCAGCTGCTCCATCGTTTGATTTGTCCTTTCCGTCTGGCCGTCCGTTTGGGGATGATAAGCGGATGAGAACTGTAGACGCGTGCCATACCGAGCCCACGTGTCCTGCCAGAATTTTGACGTGAACTTCGGATCTCGATCGCTAATGATTGCTGCTGGTATCCCATGTAGGCGAACAACGGTCGAGATGAATAGGCGCGCTGTTTCTTCGGCTGTGATGGTTGTACGACATGGTGCGAAATGCGCCATTTTCGTCAATCGGTCAACGACAACCAAAACCGTGTCGTTTCCGCTGGGTCCGGCCGGTAGTCCCGTAACGAAATCCATCGTTACGTGTTGCCATGGGCGTTGAGGTGGCTCGAGGGGCTACAACATTCCTGTAGGTCGCTGGTGCGATGACTTCATTCGCTGGCAGATCGGACACGCAGCCACGTAACGCTGCACGTCCGTCACCATATCTGGCTAGTAATAAAACCGTTGCAACGCCTTCAAAGTTTTATCAACCCCGAAATGTCCTGATAAATTCGAATCGTGGACTTCTTGAATTAGTAATTCGCGAAGTAGACGATAACTTGGGACCCAAATTCAATCAGTCCCGCTTCGTAAGTAATAAACGCCTTTCCGTGTAGTGATTGGGAGATGGCCGTCGTTTACAAAGAAGGGGTCAGTCGAATACCCGTGGGTAAATAGTCCACTCAATAGCGGGTTGCTCTGGGCGACTAGTACTGCTACGAGTTGGGCAGATGGTCTGGAAAGGGCGTCGGCAATATTGTTGGTGCCTTTTTTATGAGTGATCTTGTACGTGAAGTTGGACTCCAGATAGTCCAGCCAGCGTATCTGCCGCGGGTTGAGATTCGGCTGCGCTCTCAGGTACTATAGAGATTTGTGATCCGTTCGTACCGTCACGTCTGCTCCAGTCAGGTAGCACCTCCAGATTTTGAACGCCTGGACGATCGCCAGCATCTCCTTGTCGTGTACCGGGTAGTTGCGCTCAGCAGATTGCATTTTCCGAGATTCGTATGCAATTGGTTGAAGCCCATTGCCGAAATCCTGTATGAGCACTGCTCCGATGGCGATGTCACTTGCGTCAGTGATGACTTCGAAGGGCCGTTCCGGGTCAGCGATGCGAAGTACCGGTGGCGACATTAAAAGATGTTTTAATGTCTCAAACGCAGCTTGCTGCTTCTCCCCCCACTCGTAAAAAGTCCCCTTCTGCAGTAGGTCGGTTAGAGGTCCAGTTAACCCTGGCATGTTGGGTATAAACCGCCGCACGTAATTCACGAAACCCAGAAATGATTGCAGCTGCTGCAGATTTGTTGGCGGTTTCCACTCCTGAATGGCCCGGAGTTTTTTCGGGTCTATTCGAATCCCTTCCGTGGAGATCACATGCCCCAGGAACTCCAGTTCTTATTTTAAAAACTCTTACTTGGATCCCTTGGTGATGAGTAGATGCTGCTGCAACCGCTGAAAAACCGCTTCCAAATCTTTTAAATGCTGCACCCGAGTCTTGCTATAGATCAAGATGTCGTCCAGGTAAATGATCATGCATTTGTCGAGTAGATCGCGGAACACCCCATTCATGGTGAGTTGGAACGTCGAGGGGGCGTTCGTTAATCCAAACAGCATCACCGTGTATTCGTAACTCCCATAGCGAGTACGAAACGCGGTCTTGTGGCAGTCGTCAGCGAACACTCGAATTTGATGGTAACCGCCACGCAGGTTGATCTTCGAAAAGTAGCGAGCTCCGCGAAGGTTGTCGATCAGTTCATCCGTTCGTGGGATTGGGTAGCGCGATTTGATCGTTACCCGATTAAGGGCACGATAATCCGTACACATGCGAAGTCCGCCGTCCTTTTTGGTGTGAACAGGATCGGTGCTGCGAAAGGTGGCGTGCTCGGCTGAATGAACCCTTTTGCTAGCAGGTAGTCCAGCTGGTTCCGTAACTCCTGTAGCTCCGGCTGAGTCAGACGCCATTGCGTGCGTACAGTAGGCTGCGCGCCGGGCTCCAGCTTGATTTTGTGGTCTTGGGGTCGTTCGGGTGGCAGTCCACTTGGCAAATCGTCCAGGAAAATCTCAGGATATTCCCGAATGATTTTCGCCAAGTCATCCGGGACCGCGGCGCAGGGTTTGTTGATGTCGGTCGCCTCATTCTGCTCCGTCGATTCGGTTAGATGGACGGCGTATAAATCTGCTCCATTCTTGACCGCTCGATTGAGGCACACCGCTTTGACTCGTGTCGATATTGTCTCTGCTTTCGGCCACGTGGGTAATTTTCGTCAACCTTTGTCGCACTTCACTGTGCACTCGCCTGCTGTCCAATCGATCTGCGCGTTGAATCTTCGCAGCCAATCGCGTCCCAATAGCACGTCGTAGCTGTCGAGCGTTGTCGCCAGCATCGGCGCGCTGAAACCAAAATCGTCGCCACACTTCATGCGAACGACGGGAACTTTGTCGCGTATCGCCAGCGGGGTACCGTCCACTAATCGCGCGTCGATTTCGGGCAGACACCTCTCCAGCGTCAGGTGTAGTCGTCGTGCTGTTTCTCGATTTATCAGGCTGTGACTCGCACCTCCGTCGATGAATATTTTTATTTTTCTTCCATGAAGTCGTCCTTCCGCCAGTACAGGGTGGTCCACTGGGTCATCCTCCTTTTTCAACCGGGAGCGGTTGATAGCATGTATCGGAACCACTACTCGGTGGGGATGATGTTTTTCGGGCGATGAGGCAGGGTCAGTAGGGGGCCCGACCGCTACTGACGCTTGGCGTTTCCCGACCTGCCTTCGTCGTTCTTCTTTATCTGCTTCTTTCGGGGGCAATCGTGAGATTGGTGACCCGGCTGGTAGCAGTTGAAACATTGCCCCTTGCGAAAATCTTCCACGTGCTCCTTTGCCACTACGCCGTGAATCGTGGGCCGTGAATCCTGGCCACGAAAACGATTTCCCTCCCGGGAACCCGCTCTCGCATACGTCCGATGTGCGTCGAAGTTGTCTGCGATCCGGACGGCTTCGTGAAACGTCGCCGGTAGTCGCAACCGGACCTCGCATTTAATGTCCCGCTTCAAACCCGAAATGAATCGAGCTTTCTTCTCGGAGTCATGCATGTCGGTGATTTGATCGCATAACGCCATGAAGATCGACGCGTAATCCTGGACAGAACTCCACTGGCGCCAGTTGTCCAGCTTCGTGCGTGCGTTGTCCGAGGCGGATATTGGCTCGAAACGTTCACGCAGAGCTGTACCCCACGCCTTCCACGTGCGAATCTTGGTCGATCCAAAAATCGCGGTTGACCCTTGGGCAGCAGACCCAAAGTTTCAGAAAAACCCCTGTGTGTCGCCTGCCGAAAGTTCCCCCTCCTGTAGAGTATATCGCCACCAATCCAGCGCAGGTCCCTGCAGTAGTGATACAGCCAGTCGAATTTTTAAATCGTCAACTGATCCCGGCGGCATTAAAATAAAGTTCCGCCGAAAATAACCAGCCCGTAACAGTAGTATTCTTATCTGTGGGGTTGAACGGGGGCGGCATTGTCGGTTTGATTGTCGCTGTCGTCACGATCGGCATAAACGCCGGTGCGGCTACAGTAGCGGCTGCCTCTGACCGAGCGGCTGCTGCTGTCGCTACTGCTGCTGCTTCGGCTGCTGCTCGTGCTGCCACTTCAGCTGCCGCGGCGGCTTCACTGTCCTTGCGCTCCTGTGACACCTCACGTGCGATTTCGTCCAAGACGGTTTCGACACGTCCGGTGCTGGCGACCTCTTCTTGGGCGGCAGATTTCTGACGCGAATCCTCTCGCGCCTGACGTAACTCAGCAGCTTCCGCACGAAGTCGCTCGTTGTCCTCCAGCACTGTAGCCATGCGTGTGTTCATGGCGTTGAACTGCTCCCGAAGCTCGTTGAACTGAGCTTGGTCTATTTGGCGAATGCTCCGCCGGGGCAGGGGGAAATCCGTAATGTGCCTGTACTCAGGTAAGCGCAAACGCTATCGTAGTTGGGCGAATTAATCAGTATAATTCGCGAGCAACCGCTTTGCAGCTTACGTGAGGGACTTACCAAAATAAAAAATAAAAAAATCAGCTCACGAAAACGGGTGAGCGAGGAAAGTGGCTCTGAATACCAGGTGTTATGAATGAACAAGCAGAGTAGCGCGGAAATGAATAACGAGATATTCACTCACTGAATGACGATACAAGGAATGGCAAGCCAAGATATAGGAACACCAGAGCTAGTCTAACCATGCGATGGGAAGGTTCGGGAAAGAGATCGAAGGGTCTCGAAGTGACGAAGCGAGGCCCGGAGAACTCCCGAAGGTCGAACTAGAAGGTCTGCAGAAGCCGAGGCGGTTCTGTCAGTAGGTCTGGAACAGTCCCGAGGCTTCGGGTGTGTTCTAGCGTACACGCTAGCAGTACCGCTCGGTAAGGAATGGAAAGTTCCTTACAAAATCTGTGGTATACAAATTGGTACCATGTAGGGATAATTGGTACCACGCTGGGAAGAAATCGATCTGATGGTTACCGTGAAGCCACGTAGGTGATTGCTGACGTCATCGCCTCGGATGTTGGTTACCCGGGAGATAAATACGGGTTTTTAGGTTACCGGTAACCCTTACTAGCGTTTTACTCTTTGGGATCACGTTTAGCCCCTATTACGGAAGGGTTTCTCGCCGATCAAACCCCCCAGGGACAGTTTTTTGTTCTTCGAGGTTAGTTCTCTCCACAGCGAACCACGTGTAACAATCTCCTTAATCTTGGGCAGAGGGCAGAAACAATAAAACCCTTATGGGCCTGGCATGGCATTCTGGATGGCATCAACCCTAAACTCGCAAAAGGGCCACGAATTTAGGGTTGATGCCAACCAGAATGGCATACTCGCCCCTATGGGTTTTAGTTTTTTTCTTGCCAGCTAGCCTGCCCGAATGTTGTCAGCCATTTTCAGTAGCGCTACAGATCCCACAATATCGCAGGAAAACAGAGTTCAGTAGCCCCAAAGTGACGGAGCAAGGAGATTGTGACGCGTGGTTTTCTGTGGTGCGAACTAACCTCAAAGAACAAAAAACTGGCCCAGGAGGGTTGGAACAATGAAAAACCCTTCCGTGAAAGGGCTAAATGTTACTCAAAAGAGTAAAACTCCAGTAAGGGTTACCGCTAACCTAAAAACCCGATAAATACCCACCACCACCCAGGTAAAAGGAGGCGCTGCCACGTGTCAAACTTCGCGCCGAGCAAGGCTGCTGTCTTGGCCTTTCCAGCCGCCAGACCTGTCGCGAGCTTCCGCTTATCCCACGCAAGCAAGCAAGCTTGGAACAGGGATACGTGGAATGCAGCTAGAATGAAGCCGTGGCGCGGGACGCTTGAGAGCCCGCCTCGGCATGGCGTGGCGTGGTGTCGCTGGGAGCTGGAAGAAAGCTGGACTCGACGAAAGCTGGGCCCCGCCGCTCGTCACTCGCATGCCGACGCGAGTAAAGCTGGAAGCTGGACGGCGAGAAAGCGGCCTCGTTCGCCCCGCAGATGGGCGCTGGACGCTGGACGCCAGATTGAGAGACCGACGTCGTCACACCCCCCGAAGTGTGGAGTGCTTCTGCTTGAAATTCCTGCTTCGGCTCGCTACGTGCAGAGATGCTGCGGGCTGCCGAGAGCACGCGGCGATGACGAACTGCGACTGCGACGGGAGGTGCTGGCGGAAGGGGAAGCGGCCGTAGCGAGACCGATCGCCACGGGATTGGCAGCCATAGCGGAGCGGATCGCGGAATCGTGACGAGAAAGGGAAAGGCGTCTGCCGCTGCAGCCGAGTCGGTTGAGAAAGATAAAGGATCGGTGGGGAGGGGTGGAGGATTCGTGCAGCGAGGAGCTGCAGCGAGCGAGGGGGGAGAACGAGGCACTGGCGGATCGAGCCCCGTCGGAAAGGCGAGTGGCGCGCGTGGCGGGAAGGCGCGTGGGGGGTTAAAGCGGGTTTCGGCGGAGAAGGGGCGGATTCTCGGAGAGGAGGAGCTTCGTCTTGGGGGCGACGAGGCGGAGGCGGAAGGATCTCGAGGAGGGGGTGCGAGGGAGCCCGGGTTGAGAGGAGGGGCGCGCAGGGGGAGGGGAAGGGGGCGACGAGGGTGGCCGCGTAAGGCGAAGGCGGAAGGCCGGTTAGAGCGGGAAAAGGCCGCAGAGAAGGAGAGCGGAGGTGGCGGGGAGGGGGGTGAAGGCGCGGAGGAGGAAGGAGGCTGCAGGGAGCGGAGTCTGCTGAGCGGGTTGAGGCTGGAAGACTTTCCCCCGGTGGAGCAAGGCGTGCTGGTGGGCGAGAGAGAGGCGGCCAGTGAGACGCTGGAGGAGGAGGAGGAAGGGGAGGGGGAAGAGTGGGCAGGAGGGGGCGAGGAGGGGGAGGAGGTGACGGGGTTGGAGGAAGGGAGTGAGGAGGAAGGAGGGGAGGGCGTGCAGGAGGAGATCCAGGGGCTGCTGAGAGACGCCTTAGTGGCAGAAGAGGCAGAGGAGAAGCAAGCGGAAGAGGCGCAGCAAGCAGAATCGCTGTTAGCAGCAGCAGCAGGAGCAGGAGCAGTAGGAGCAGCAGCAAGAGAGGCTTCTGCTGCTGCAGTGACGGGAGAAGGGATCACTAAGGAGAGACCTGTAAGGCCTCGAGAAGAGAGGGTCGGGTGGGTGGGGGGAAGCACAGGGCGCGTTGGGAAGGGTTTGAAGACAGGCGAGGTGCCCCAGACGTACTCGAGGAGGAGGGCGGGCGGGCAAGGAGGGGCGGAAGAAAAAGAGGGGCAGGCAGGGGAAGGTGAGGAGGGTGGAGCAGATCAACAGATGCAAGCTGCAGGCACAGGAGGATCAATAGAGCAAGGAGGAGCGGCAGCAGGGCAAGGAGGGGCAGCACCAGGGCAGGGTGGGTCAACAGTGACGGTGGTGACGAAGCGCCCTCGCAGAGAGACGGTGCCGGTGTCAGAGGAGCAGCAGGTGGTGCGAGTCACAGAGGCCACTGTACAGATGCAAGTGCGGGGAGAGGGAGAAGGGAGGGAAGCTGCAGCTGCAGCTGAGGTTGAGGCAGTGCTTGGCGGCGTTGCTTCCCTTCTGCCTGCGACGGCCCAACCGATTGCCGAGATGGCTGGTGGTTCGGATGCCCCTGCAAAGCAGCCGCAGGAGAAGCAGCAGCAGAAGCAGCAGGAGAAGCAGCCAGTGGCAGGTGCAGGAGCAGAAAATGGTGGCACGAGGGGGGCTGCGCCAACACCTGCAGTGGCGGCAGCATCTCCAGCAACGAGTGCAGCCCCCAAGACTCCAACTGTGGCCCCCACGGGGAACTTACCTTCCCCAGCTGGAGCGCCAGCAACACCATCTGCTGCACCTGCTGTGCCCGCTGCTTGGCGACTGGACGACCAGCAGCCGACTGACATGGGAGGTCAGGCCGGAAGAGAGCAACAGGTGGCTGTGAAGACTGCGGAGGGCCCCAGGGGAGGTGGCGCAGCTACTGGGGTGCAGGGAATGAAGCGCCCTGCTGCTATGATGACCCAGGGAGGCGCTGGAGGGCTGAGTGTTGCCGGGGGTGGGACCTCTGTAGGGCTAGGTTTTCCTGGTGGGTCTGTGGGGCTTGGTGCGCCTGGTGTTGGCGGAACCAGTGTGGGGTTGGGCGGCATGGTGTCAGCGATGGACGGGCGCATGGTGGAGATGGCGGTGCGGCACGCCATGGCGGCACGCGTGGAGGGGCAGAGGAGGGCAGTGGAGGAGAGGAGGAGGGCGGTGAGGCAGATGCGGCTGCAGGAGGATCGGAGGAGCAGCGAGGCCACAAGGCTGCAGGCCGAGAGGGATGCTCACTTAAGGGAGATGGATGACACACTGCAGGAGCTGGTATGTGTGAATGGGGGTTGGGATTTAGGGTTTAGGGGTAGCGCACCTAGTAGACTGGAGGACGAGAGGGAGATGCAGGCGGCAGGAGCTGGTATGCGTGAATCAGCTGGTCTCCCTCCCTTTCCCCCCTCACCCTTCCGTTCCTTTTTGAGAATTCTCAAAAAGCTTACTCTTCGTGCTTTTCTGTACCACAATCGTTGCTGTCCCATTCTCTGTCTGCCTCGCTACAGGCTGCGAGGGTGAAAGGGAAGCCAAGGAAGCAGACTGCGTGGTAGACAGAGCAGTGCACGTGAAGTCTGCACATTTTTTGCCGTTCATAAGTCTTCCTGTTCCCTGCACCCTGTTCCCGATACCCTGCATCCTGTTCCCGGTACCCTGCACCCTGTTACCCACACCCCGTACCCTGCACCCTGTACCCTCTACCCTGTACCATGTGCACTGTTACCTCCATCATGCAGGTTGCGAGGGCCGAGGGTCTCGAGAGGGCAGCCAAGGAAGCACGGCGGGTGGCAGACAGAGCTGTGCAGGACAAGGCAGCACAGGAGGCGGCGATCAGAGAGAGATACCAGGCACGTTGGGGTCTGGGCGAGCAGAGAGAGATACCAGGCACGTTGGGGTCTGGGCGAGCAGAGAGAGATACCAGGCACGTTGGGGTCTGGGCGAGCAGAGAGAGATACCAGGCACGTTGGGGTCTGGGCGAGCAGAGAGAGATACCAGGCACGTTGGGGTCTGGGCGAGCAGAGAGAGATACCAGGCACGTTGGGGTCTGGGCGATCAGAGAGAGATACCAGGCACGTTGGGGTCTGGGCGAGCAGAGAGAGATACCAGGCACGTTGGGGTCTGGGCGAGCAGAGAGAGATACCAGGCACGTTGGGGTCTGGGCGAGCAGAGAGAGATACCAGGCACGTTGGGGTCTGGGCGAGCAGAGAGAGATACCAGGCACGTTGGGGTCTGGGCGACCAGAGGGAGATACCAGGCACGTTGGGGTCTGGGCGAGCAGAGAGAGATACCAGGCACGTTGGGGTCTGGGTGATCAGAGAGAGATACCAGGCGTTGGGGTCTGGGTGTGAGTGGTTTGAGTCTGTGTGGGGGGGCAAACGGGGGGTGGTGCTGGGTGGGTGGGTGGGTGGAGGTGGGTGTTGGGAGGAGGAAGGAGGGAGGGTGGGTGGATGGGGGAGTGTGTGCACTTCTCCACTTGTCTACCCCCCTTCTCTCCATCACCCGTTCAGTCTCTTTGTTACTCCCTCCCGCTGCCCCTTCCCCATTTCCTCCCCCCTTCCTTCCTGGCCTCTCACACTCACTCCCTGCTCCCGCCGCAACTCCCCTTCCCTCATTCCACCACACCCAACCATGCGCACACTCTTTTTGCTGGTGGCAGACCCCCGTGCACACGATCTCCTTTCCACACTCTCTTTCTTTCCTTCTTGTACTCCGCCGTCGCCCCTTTGATGCTCGTGTTGCATCCCACTTGTGACACTCTTCCCCAGGCGCTCCTATCAGACGACAAGGAGTGGGAGGCACTTGCAGAGGCGCAACGTGAGTTCGAAGCTCAACAGGCGGAGCTGCAGGAGCTTGAAGCAAATCAGTCAGCTCTGGTTGAAGCCCTCACGGCTAAGTTCTGGGGCGATGTGAAGAGACAGTTGTATGGCCGCGATGATTGAAGCTGCTGCTAAGGCGGTACCATGATTTAAAACAGCTGAGGCGGTGCAGTCGAAAACAAGGTTCTGGGGAAACTGTTAACGTAGAAACGAATGATTACTAGAGGTGGAAACCTAGAACAAATACTAGTTGGTTGTACTCACTAGAAGCATACCTCAGTCTAGCCTATAACTTCTACATAGATAATATGTATAAGTTGACACACCCCCTAGGCTAGACAAGGGGTGAAACTAAACAAGAAGCAAACAGCTCAGGGCGGCACTACTAGTCCAACCACTGAGGCAGGGGTCTGGAGACCAGTCAGCAAGAATACAACCAAAACTGAAGCAAGCCAGGGTGGCACTACTAGTCCAGCCACTGGAGGTAAGGCCACAAGGCCAGTCTGACAAACATATATAATAGAGAGTACACAATCAGGATCCTAACAGGGGAGCAGCTATAGGAACAAGACCAAGCTGTACACAGTGCTGCTGATGATCTTTAGGCGCAAGCGCCTTAGTAAAGATATCAGCTGTGTTGGCACCTGAGGCCAAGTGAACTACGCGGGCCTGGCGGCGCTGCTGTAGCTCGCGCAGGAGGAAGTACCGCAGCTGGATATGCTTCGCTCTGCCCTCAAGCCGAGGCTCCTGACACAGGAGTATCATGGCCCTGTTGTCAGCGTACAGGACCGGGGCAGAGCTAGGCCGCTCACCTAAGTCTGTGAGCAAGAAGGTCAGCCAGCGGAGCTCCTGTGCCGCCATGGCACCAGCGTAGATCTCAGCCTCACAGCTAGACTGAGCCACAGACGACGAGCGAGTGGATCTCCAAGAGATAGCACCCGAACCAAGGCTGAAACAGTAGCCCTGCGACGACCTGAGCGTCTCAGCGTCGTCTGCCCAAGAAGCGTCTGTGTGCCCAGTAAGGACCACTGGCCTGCGTCCTCCTAGCACTAACCCCATGCCTGATGTACTAGCAAGATAACGCAAAACCCTCTTAGCGGCAGACCAGTGCTGAGGTCGGTGTCTGCCTGTAGCCACAAAGCGAGCCAGGATGCTGAGAGGGTATGCGAGATCTGGGCGAGTGCAAGTCATCAGGTACATGAGGCAACCCACCAGCTCTGCGTAGGGGCCACTGGGCTCTACTGGCTCCTCAGGAACGGGAGCAGAGAGCCCATGGTCTACGGGTAGAGGTGTGGGCTGTGCGGAGGAGAACTGAAGACCGAACCTCTGAAGGACCTGACGCACCAAGTGTGACTGGGTCAGAGTGATGGTGCGTGCTGCTCTGTCCCTAGAGATCTGCAGGCCAAGATAGCGACGCAGCTCTCCAAGGTCAGTGCAGGTGTGTCTCTTCAGCAGCTCAGCCTTCACAGAGGCCAGTGCGTCCCTGTCAGGAGTAGCGAAGACCAGGTCGTCTACGTAGACAAGGATGTAGAACGGAGTCTGGCCGGAACGCACAAACAGTGAAGGGTCAGCAGAGGACGGAAAGAACTGCAGGTCTGCTAACGTGGCACGTAGCGTGTCGTGCCACTCGCGGGGAGCCTGACGCAGGCCGTAGACCGGGCGCCTGAGAAGCCACTGGGTCCCAGGAGGGAAGGTACCAGTGAAGCCCTGTGGTCGGCGCAGGTAGACCTGCTCGTGTAGGCTGCCCTGAAGAAAGGCAGTAGAGAAGTCGAGGGAGTGAAGCTCGTAGTCACGCTGTGCTGCTACGTGTAGCAGCGCCCGAAGAGTGGTCATCTTCGGGGTCGGGGCGAAGGTCTGGAAGAAGTCAACCCCCTCGCGCTGACTGAAACCTCTGGCCACGTAGCGCGCCTTGAAGACAGGCGGCTCTCCAGGGGGGCGCTTCACCTTGAAGAGCCACCGACCATCGACTACGTTCACCCCAGGCGGGGGAACTGCGTCGACGTAAGTGCCGGTGGATCTCCAAGATGCCATCTCCTGCTCCATGGCAGCTATCCACTGAGAGGCCCAAGGTCCCGAGGTGGCCTCAGCGTAGGTGCGAGGGGTCGGGATGTCGAAGGCGTCTGGGTCACCCTCAGGGACTAACAGCATGGAGCAGAGATGGGGAGCAGCCTCGGAAAGGAAAGCCAGCTCGTACTGCCTGTCCTCTAGGACGTCACTGCCAAGGGCAGGAGCACCCCCGACGGACAGAGGACGGGCAGGGTCAGAGACCAGAGCGGTAGCGTAGTCAAGGCGGCGGGTAGAAGCGAAGTCAGCGACAGCAGCGACAAGCGCGTCAAGGCGCGAGACAGGAACAGCAGGGTCGGTAACAAGAGAGGCAAGGACCCGAGGGACAAGGGGACGAGCAGCACGGAGGTAGTCAGAGAACGGAGGAGGTGCAACAGCAAGGGACGAGGGAGGAGGGGACGGGAGGAGGGGAGGACGAGACGAGTGGGAACGGAGCAACATAGGGTGGGTGGGCAGGACAGGAGAGACGGGACGAGCACGGGAGGGACGGCGAGCCCAAACGTGAGACGGAGGGGTAGGGTCAGGGGACAGCGGAGGAGACACAGGAGGGGAACGAGGAGGAAGACGGGCCGGAGACGAGTCTGGCGGCGGGAACACAGGACCGTAGACAGGGAGGTCAGGAGGCGGTGGGGGAGACACCGGCGCGCGGTCCGGGGAGGGAAGGCCGAGCAGGCGGAGAGCGGAAACCGGCGGCGACGGCTGCTGCGGCGGCGACGACGGCTGGGCCGGAACTCTCGGACCAGCAGAGGCAGAACGACCGTCGGCAGAACACTCAACAGCAGCACCCCCAGAACCAACACCCCCAGAGCGAGAACCCCCTCCAACACCAGCGGCACCCCCAGAAGCCGCAGGACGAACACCCTCCTCCACACCAGCACCCCCAGGGGCCGAGAGCAGCGGCGGCAGTGGCGGCAACGGCTGCGGCGGCGGCGACAGCGGCGACAGCTGCGGCGACGAAAGCGGCGACGGCTGCGGCGGCGACGGCGACGGCGGCGGCAGCGGGGTCGGCGACTGCGACAGTGGGGGCGGAGGCACCGGGGAAGGGGGACGCGGCAAGGACGGACCGGGGGTACCACCAGAGTCAGCAGACTCCTCAACGGGGACAACCGACGGGAGGGGAGTGACGTGGGAGACACCAGACGGGGCAGGACGAGGCGGGAGAGGGGCAGGGGCTACCGGGGGAGAGGGAGCAAGGAAAAGGGGGGGGGCAACTGGGAGACCTCGGTGAGGGAAGCGGCGGTAGAAGGAGACGGACTCATCAAAGGTGACGTCACGAGAGTGGAGGAAGCGGTGAGACGGCGGGTGGTAGAAAAGCCAGTCAGACGAGTCCAGGGGGAAACCGAGGAAGACACAGGGGACAGTGCGGGCAGTGAGCTTGTCCGTGCCAGAGGCACGAACGTGAGCAAGGCAGCCCCAGACGTGGAACGCAGACGCGTCACCGGGGGACCCGGTCCAAAGGAGGGTCGGCGAAACTTGCGGCCGCTGGGAGCGTGGCCACAGGTTAAGCTGGTGAGCCGCGTAGCGAACAGCGAACGGCCACAGAAAATGGGGGGCATCGGCATGGATCATGGAGGTACGGGCGACCTCCATGACCAAGCCGATGCGGCGCTCAGCAACCCCATTCTGCTGTGGCGAGTCCGGCAACGTGTACGACTGGGTGATGCCCTCCGCACGACAGAACTGTCCAAGCCGACCAGAGGCGAACTCGCCGCCACGGTCGGAGTGGAGACACAACACGGGGAGACCGCGGTGGAGACGCGCAGCCACAACCCACGGGAGAAGAACGTCGGGCACGTCGGCCTTCCGCTCCAGGGGAAACACCGTGGTGTAGCGCGTGTAGTCGTCGACAAGCACAAGGAAGTAGCGCTCACCGCGCGGTCCGGGGACGGGGGCAGGGCCCCAAACGTCCAAGTGCAGGGTCTGAAGGGGGCCAGTAGCAGGACGCAGCGAGGAGGAGTGAGGAGCACGGCGGAGCCGACCCTCGACGCAAGGCGTGCACGGTGGCGCAGTCGAGGGAGGAAGGGCAGGGAGCGACGCGGGGAGACCTAAGACAAGACCGTGCTGGGACATGTGACGCAGACGCGGGAGAGCAGGGTGACCTAAGCGGTGGTGCCAGAGAAGGGAGGGGTGAGTGAGGGACCGACACGAGCAAGCTGCAGCGACCTGGGAGGACGCACCAACCGGGGGGGAAGCGGTGTGTAGGGTAAACAGACCGGACACCGGGTCCCGGGGGAACGTCGCAAGGGGGGAACCTGAGACAGCCTCAGAACAGACAGCGAACCGCTCGTGCCCGGGGAACGTGGTGGTGACGCCGAGGTCCTGGAGACAGCCGACACCAACCAGGTTCCTGGAGAACGAGGGAACGTGGAGGCCAGTAAGGGAGCCCGAGGGAACTGCCGGACAGGGAAGGGACGTAGAACTGCGCGCGACGACCGGACCCGCAGAGGGGTCAGCGAGAGAGACAACAGCAGGTGCAGCAAGCGGCGTGAGTGTGGAACGGTCGCGGAAGAAGCAGGCAGAAGCACCAGAGTCGAGAGTGAAGGACAGCGACGCAGTGGCGGGGGCCGGGGACGGAGCCGGTGCAGCGACTAGACTAGGCAACCTAGGCAGTCCTACGCCTGTCGCAGCAGGGGAAGCTAAGCTACACAAGGGTGAAACACCTAAACTAGAGTACACAGGGTAGTAAGATCCATCAACACTAGAAGCGTCAGCATACAAAGCATGCAAAGCAGCACCTATCTGATCCATGTCTAACTCAAAGATCGGCACGCCCTGGCGGAGCAGGCTGTGCCAGTCAGGGAGGTCCGGGGCCGGGCCAAAGCGACGACGAAAAAGATCGTCGAGGCGGCGGAAACAGCGGGCGGTCGGGTGCGGGCGGCGGCACAGAGTGCCACGGAGAGGCCCGGTCTGAAGCTGGTACTGGCAGGTCACAGCACTGGAGCCGCTGGTAGACGCCAAGCTGCGCGGGCCGCCACCACGGCCACCGCCTCCGGAGGTGCCGGGCCAACCAGGCGGGAGACGAGCCCACGGCTGCGGCGGGTGCTGCTGGGACGGCGGCTGTGGCTGGGGCTGGTCCTGCTGCTGCTGGGACTGCTGCTCCTGCCCACCGGTGGTAGTCCCCTCAGGCGGACTACCGTCACCACCACCACGACCACTACCACCTGCGTCACCACCCCTACCTCCCTGGCGGCCACGGCCACCGCGACGCGAGCGCTGCTGCGGGTGGACAGCAGCAGCCGTCTCGGTAAGAGGGGTCGCCGTGGCGACCGCAGCCGAAACGTCAGTGAACGTGCACGGGGATGGGGCACAGCCGTGAAAGATAGAGACTGGCGGCGCACCGCTCGACTGAGCGATAGTGCGCTGGCGAGTCTCGATCTCAGTGAGGGTGTCGACAAAGGCGGTCAGGGTGAGGTCACCCGGGTGCTGGCTAAGAAAGTGGTCGCGAGCACTAGCGAGGCGGTCTGGCAGGCGCATAGCGATAAAATAGAGCGTCATGCAGAAAGGAGGGGGGAGCGCAGTGAGCTGGGCAGCAGTGCTGGCAGTGCGATAGCGAGTCTCTAGGGCACGCAAATGAGTGGCAAAATCTGCGACAGTAGGGAAGGCAGCCAGGTCTGGGAACAGCATCGGAAAGAGCAAGCGGCCAGCAGAAGCGGAGGCAGGGGTGGAATAGCGAGCAATAACGGCGTCTAAATAAGCTTTGGCCGTTTCAACAGTAGCAAAACGCGAGCGCTCAGACACAGGGAGGGCGTGACTAATAGCAACCTGAGCTACTGCATCGCGTGAGTCCCAGATCGCACAGGCCAGCGCAGCAGTAGAGAAAGCCTCACGGTCATCAGAGGAGGGGTCAGCAGGGAGGGGAGTAGGTGCAGGGGGACGGGGGAGCAAGCCATCAGCATGGACAACCAGAGAGTGGCCATCCTGGCGCTGACCTGTAAGCTGGCGGCGAAGATCGGAGAGCCAGGCGGCGAAGTCAACCGCGTGGCCCTCAGCGTCCAGGCGGAGCACAAAGTCAGCCATCGTGCAGGGTCAGCGGCACAGCTCCTCAGCGACACAGCGGCACAGCAGCACAGCTCCTCAGCGGCACAGGAGCACAGCGGCGCGGGGACACGGCGGCAGCACTCTCCAGTAGGGCAGCAGCTAGGCGTCCCAGCGCAGGCGAGCAGAAGACACAGGGCCCGAGAGGACACGGCAGGCCGAGCAGGGGAGGCGGGCAGGTGCTCTGGGGCCGGGCTGGTGCTGGGAGGGGCCAGGCTGGTGCTGCTGGGGCCGGTCGGGCACGAGGAGGGGCCGGGCAGCGCTGAGGAGAGGCCGGGCGGCGCTAGGAAGGGGCCGGGCGGCACTAGGAGGAGGCCGGGCGGCACTAGGAGGAGGCCGAGCGGCACTAGGAGGAGGCCAGGCGGGCGAGCGCTAACAGCAGGCGCGACAGGGGCCAGCGGGCGCGACGGGGCCTAAGGGGCGCGACGGGGCCCAGCGGGCACGACGGGGCCCAGGGGGGGCGCGACGGGGCCGAGGAGGCGCGACGGGGACCAGCGGGCACGACGGGGCCCAGGGGGGCCGCGACGGGGCCTAACGGGCGCGACGGGGCCCAGGGGGGGCGCGACGGGGCCTAGCAGGCGCGACGGGGCCTAGGAAGCGCGAAGGGGCCCAGCGGGCGCGACGGGGCCTAGGAGGGGCGCGACGGGGCCGAACGGGCGCGACGGGGCCCAGAGGGGGGGGACGCGACGGGGCTTAGGAGGCGCGACGATGCCTAGGAGGCACGACGGGGCTCAGCGGGCTCGACGGGGCCCATGGGGGGCGCGACGGGGCCTAGGAGGCGCAACGGGGCCCAGCGGGGGCGCGTTAGGGCCTAGGGGTCGCGACGGGACCCAGCGGGCGCGACGGGGCCTAGGGGGAGCGCGACGGGGCCTAGGAGGCGCGACGGGGCCCAGCGGGCACGACGGGGCCCAGGGGGGGCGCGACGGGGCCTAACGAGCGCGACGGGGCCCAGGGGGGGCGCGACGGGGCCTAGGGGGCGCGACGGGGCCTAGGAGGCGCGACGGGCGGAAGCGGTAGGCGGGGGGATCCTAACCTAAGCGTGATACCATGTTAACGTAGAAACGAATGATTACTAGAGGTGGAAACCTAGAACAAATACTAGTTGGTTGTACTCACTAGAAGCATACCTCAGTCTAGCCTATAACTTCTACATAGATAATATGTATAAGTTGACAGAAACATCAGAAGACCTTTTGACAGGGATGATTGAAGCTGCTGCTGGTTGGCGCGTGGAGTCTTAGGGGGCATCTGATGGCATTCTGCAATATCATTGCTGTGACGGTGCTAGTGGTTTGTACAATGTGTAAATACTACATGCTGCCATGTTCAGTTTGGTTTGGGGTGGTCGAGGGCGAAGTCCTACGAAGTAAGATCAGAATAAAAACGCGAAATCCATTTGTGATCCCTTTGCCCGGTCTATTACAGTAATCCCCTGTAAATAACACCTGCCGAAATAGTCACTCCATGGGTACAGGCTCCACTGTCACGAGACTAGGGTAGCTAGGAAGCCATGGAATGGCACGAGGGTTTAGCTAGGAGAGAAGTTACGAGAGAAAAGAGAGATCGAGAACAGAAGAGAGGCATACAAGGAGGGGGGTTGTACCCTCTACAGTTGGTTGCAATTACACCTACCAAACCTACCAATTATATAACGAAGTATATAATTTAACACACCCCCTAGGCTTGGTAGTCACAAGCCCACCCAACACACACACACACACCCCCTAGGCTTGGTAGTCACAAGCCCACCCAACACACACACACACACCCCCTAACCCTGTAAACCCTCATGCTTGTGATCAGCCGGGTATCCACCCCTCGTGCGAAGCGATGACACCAGGCCCTTAAATATCAGACTTTTTAGGCTGATTTGGGTTTCGGTTCCAGTCCATATCTTGGCATTGGCTAATGCAAATGATACAAAGGCTTGTGAGGGACCTGTTGTTTAGGAATAAGTCTCAATGGGCAGTTTGCAAACACTGGAAAATCATAGACAACAGAAAAAACAGCCATTGAAATTAAGCAAACCAAGGCTTTAAGGTTGATATCTTAGGCCCTGGATGACACCCCCGGCGAGAGGCAGCTGGCGGCGTCTGGGGAGCCTCAACGACTACAGTGGCGGAGCTCATGCTCAAGGCGGCTGCGTCGATGACGGCAGGTGGCGACTGCCGCGGCTGAGGGCTCTCGGCGGTGTGGCACGACCCGGCGACGACCGGGTAGAAGACAGCAGCTGCGGCAGGAGGAAGAGGAGACGCAGGGGGGGAAGGGGGGTGAAGCCCAGCAAGGCGCCCGCGGCAAAGCGACGCTGGCTGGCGTGTGGGTGAGCTGGCGGCTCCTGAAACGTCAGGGCGCTGGCCACAGCCGTCCGTGCGCTGGCGACACGGCGGCATGGCGGCGCAGCGGTACCGTGGCACGGCGGCACGACAGGATGGGGACACGGGGACACGGCAGGACGGCAGAATAGAAGAGAGAGGCATACAACGAGGGGGGTTGTACCCTCTACAGTTGGTTGCAATTACACCTACCAAGCCTACCAATTATATAACAAAGTATATAATTTAACACCCACGATTGGTTTTAGGGTATGCTGATTGCTCAGTGTCATGTTCCAAAAAAAAACTTTCCATCAGCCTCCTCAAGAAAAGTTACGCTGATTCATCAGCAGGCCCTCAGATTTCAGGCAAATTTTCCTGATTCAGGTTTTTTTCAGAGGTTTTTTTTTTACCAACCCTGATGCGCTAGGATTTTTTTTAAACACAACCCTGAAATTTCAGGGTTTTTTTATGGCTGAACTCTGTTTGTATAGCGTTACTATTGTAGTGGACCCTGTAACAGCATGATTGCCCTGCCATAATAACCGCATGTTTCCCCTGCTCGATGTATGCTAGGGGGTTGTGTGAGGGGGGACTAGGCCCTTCGCCAAATTTAGGGCTAGCGTGTGTTGGGGGATGTGTGACAGGACTTGGCCCTTAGTCGAATTTAGGGCCCAATGAGCGCCTTGGAGCATTGTGTGAGGGCGAGATTTCCTCCTCCCGCTCCTGCGATCTTGCTGCTGTAATATTTTGACAGGTGTTGCAGGAGACTAAGTATAGAATCTGCAATCACGAACACTTGGAAAATCTCAAGTGTTGGCCTAGGATCTTTGCTGGAATGGTAGACTAGTAAGACAGCGGAAGTCTTATCAGACTGAACCTGAGCACATGAACTTGTGGATAGTCAAGGTTGAATAACCTGAGCACATAATTCTGTGGAAAGTCAAGGTTTATAATAGAAAGGCATTACAAGGATTTATAGCTCTAGGAAAAGTACCTGTTCGCTAATGTACATGTTCGTCACTATCGCGCTATGCGACCTATTCGTCATACTATAGAGTCGCGACTGTTCGCGTGACTGAAACGACTCATTACGCCTAATCGCGTAACTGAAGCGGTATGCTGACGTCATCCCAAGATGCACGATGCTTTGCTGACATCATTACTCGGACCTGTTTCCTTACCGAGAAACTCGATACTGCTAACTACACTGAAAATGGAACTTTCAGGAATGCAAAACTTCATTTATCACAACAGCTGCAACCTTGGATCGATCAACGAAATTTGATTGGCCGAGGCTTCTTGCAGAAATTTGCCGCAAAAATTGATGGCCTCAGCAACATCATGATTCCCACGAGAATCCTCCCTCCCTCATTTCTTCCCCCCCCCTACTTTGCCCCGTCCCTGCCCTCCCCGAGTTCCGTTCCGCCCATCTCCCAATTTCGTAAAATCAGAGTGATATTCTGAAGTAACCCTGATTACTCAGCGGTTTTTTTTTTGGAGCCCTGAAAAATCAGGGTACCTCAAAACCAATCTGAGGCCCTGTTCATCAGAGTTGCCTAGCCAAAATTTGCTTTTCCATTAGGGTCGTGTACGAAAGAAACGCTGATTTGGCAAAGAGAGTGAATTTGATTTTGACGCGAGGCCAACACGAGAACGAACTGCGGGTCTTGTGATTCTGACGGTTGTGCAAAAACGAAAGTGAAAACGAAAAAGAGTTGTGATGTGACTGTGTGCAGGATCATCAGATGTGTGGATTTTCTTTTCCGGATTTCCCAGACGAAATGAATACCGATTTCTGAAAATTTAGATGAAACCTTCTATAATTTCTGATCGTCACAGTCCTCTCAAAACCCGTGGCCCAAATTGCGAGGCGCGGCCTTCAAACGCACTGCGTTTGAAACTCGCGTTTTCGTGGGTGTAGATGGGGGTAACGTGGCTCGCATCACTCGGGGGTGTTTTTCAAGTTCAGTGCAGAAGGTATTTTGGGACACCAAGTGCCTCGCGTTTTTTTGGCCGTCCATTTTTTTGTGGATTCCCATTTGACGGTGCGCAAGCAAAGTGCTTCCCCCAATCAATCGAATGTAATCTCAGCCATCGCACTGCGTGCAAGAAAATCTGACGGTCCATGTGAGAGTACGACCCCGTTACACCACTTGGCCTTTTCTTATTTCCTTCCCTTTTCATTTCTCTTTTTACCGCATCTCATTTGGTTTCCTATTCTTCCTTTTCCATTAACCTTTGGTTTATCCTGCTATTATCATTACATCACCGACCAGGCTTGGGATGTATTGGTGCGCTCTATCTAGCGTAATCCTGCTGTAATCCCTTAAAGCCAATAGCCTCGCGTGGCTATACGCAGGGTGATTCTATCTTCTAGAAGGGTCTATTCCCTTAGGATAAGATAAACCTGGTTACCTGATGTATTCTGGAAGTATAAAAGCGCCTTGTACTGATCGATAGTGGAACCTTTCCTCGACACATTCGATCCTGTGACAGTCCACGTCAAATTGCGAACTCGCGAGATGAAACACCCTCACGATTTTTCCGTGTATTTCTTCCAAGCTGAGGCTCAAAGTGTCAAACATCTGCATTTGTCATGTTTGTATAGACTGTATAGGGTTACCTCTTAGAGGGTACAATACTTAGGTATACTTGTGTGTACTCTCACTTTACATTCTATTCAATTCTCATTTCTGATATGGTATCACGCGTAGGTAGGATCCCCCCCACCTACCGCTTCCGCTCATGCCCCCTAGCGCCCCTCCTGGGCCCCGTCGCGCTCCTCTCAGGCCCCCTAGCGCCCCTCCCAGGCCCCGTCGCGCTCCTCCCAGGCACCGTAGCGCCCCGTCGCGCCCCTCCTGGGCCCCGTAGCGCCCCTCCTGGGCCTCGTCGCGCCCCTCCTGGGCTTCGTAGCGCCCCTCCTGGGCCCTGTAACGCCCCTCCCAGGCCCCGTCGCGCCCCTCCCAGGCCCCGTCGCGCTCCTCCCAGGCCCCTAGCGCCCCTCCTGGGCCCCGTAGCGCCCCTCCTGGGCCTCGTCGCGCCCCTCCTGGGCTTCGTAGCGCCCCTCCTGGGCCCGGTAACGCCCCTTCCAGGCCCCGTCGCGCCCCTCCCAGGCCCCGTCGCGCTCCTCCCAGGCCCCCTAGCGCCCCTCCTGGGCCCCGTCGCGCTCCTCCCAGGCCCCGTAGCGCCCCGTCGCGCCCCTCCTGGGCCCCGTAGCGCCCTTCCTGGGCCTCGTCGCGCCCCTCCTGGGCTTCGTAGCGCCCTTCCTGGGCCCTGTAACGCCCCTCCCAGGCCCCGTCGCGCCCCTCCCAGGCCCCGTCGCGCTCCTCCCAGGCCCCCTAGCGCCCCTCTTGGGCCCCGTCGCGCTCCTCCCAGGCCCCGTAGCGCCCCGTCGCGCTCCTCCCAGGCCCCCTAGCGCCCCTCCTGGGCCGCGCCGCGCTCTGCCCAGGCCCTGTAGCGCCCCTCCTGGGCTCTGTCGCGCCCCTCCTGGGCCCCGTCGCACCCTGCCCGACCCCGTCGCAGCCGCCAGGCCCCGTCGCGCCCGCCCGGCGCCGTCCCAGCCGCCCGGCCCTGTCGCGCCCGCCCGGCGCCGTCGCGCCCGCCCGGCCCCGTCGCAGCCGCCTGGCCCCGTCGCGCCCGCCCGGCCCCGTCGAGCCCGCCTGGCCCCGTCGCAGCCGCCCGGCCCCATCGCAGCCGCCCGGTCGCCGTCCCGCTCGCTCGGCCCCGTCGCACCGGCCCGGCTCTGCCGCACTCGCCCGGCCCCGTCGCCCCAGCCCGGCCCCGTCGCGCCCGCTCGGCCCCGTCGCCCCGTCCCGGCCCTGTCGCACCAGCCCGGCCCCGTCGCGCCCGCCCGGCCCCGTTGGGCCAGCCCCGGCCCCGTCCTCCTCACTGGTACGGTTCCCCCCCCACCCCGCCCTGCTCCGTGCCGCCCCGCACCACACTGTACTGCCTGGCACCGCACTACACCGCACTACACTGCACTGCACCGCACTGCACCGCACTGTACCGCACTGCACCGCACTGCACCTCACTGCACCGCACTGTACCGCACTGCACCGCACTGCTCCGCACTGCACTGCCCTG